GTTAAGTGAAAGATATCGGACACACATGTCTTAGTGTTTATCTGGTGTGAAAAACAGAAAGTATAAATAAGGATCAAAATGTATCTTAGGTATTGTTAAATAGGAAGAAAATATTCAAATGGGGTGAGGAAGAGGGGAGGGTGGAAGAGGAAAGGAAAGAGAGAAAAGTTAAAAAAATGAGAAAAGGAAACGTGGAAATCTTTTGTAAATGGGGAAGGGAGGATGGGTTGAAGGGATGGTAGGGGAATGGGACATAAGAATCAAGTTATATCTTGTACAGATTCTTTATAATAAATGTGATCATTATGTCTATTTCAAATGTAGCAATAAAATTTGATTAAAAAGCAACATGTTGTATTATGTGCAAGTACAGATTCTCTATGATAAATGCAGTCATTATGTGTATCTAAAATATATCAATAAAATCTAACTGGAAAAGAAAAAAAACTAAAAAAAGAGGCTTGGATATAGCTCAGTGTGAAGTCTGCAGGGTTTCCATCACCAGTGTCACCAAAAAAAGTAGTACTTACATAGAAGCTCATATATTTTAAATCATACCTAGTACAGTGCAAATATTCTGTAAATAATTGTTGTGCTGTATTGTTTTCTTAATAAAGGCAAGAAAAAAATAAATTTTTTCCCCAATGCTTTTGAGTCACAGTTGATTGAATCTAAGCTGGGGAACCTATGGATAGGGGTAGGGAGAGCTGCTGTTTCTAAAGTGAAACTCAAGGCTGGGGATGTTGCTCTGTGATAGACTGCTTGACAGACGTGTTCAAGGCCCTAGGTTTGATTCCCAGCACTGAAAGAAAAAAAAAGAAGTAAAAAGTAGAACTGAGGCAGGTACATGTGTACCTGTTTTCAGATTGAGGGTAGTGCTTTTAGCAAGCTAGTCACAACTGAATTCTCAGCTGTGTTGCCTTCTTTAATTTTTTATGACATTATGTTTTCCTAAATTACCATTTCAGGACATTACTTTGCCCTAAGACAAATTTTAATTACACACCTGACCAACATGACAAAAAGCGTTCGTGTCTTTGTTTAACAAAGGTACTTTGTGTTACTGCTTTCCACCCGCCACAAGGAGTGAGATATGTGGGTGAACGGAATCATTGAGGTCTTCAGGGAATACTGAAAATTTCAATTGATTTTGTTCTGTTAAAATTTGTACAGTTTGAAAGCTGATGTTTTCCTCCAGGATGTTAGAAGATGTCAGTTGTTGCTTTTTTGTTTTAGTTTTGATCTGTTTGATTCTTGAGTTAGATTTCTTATTTTATAACATTTTAAGGTTAATCTGATAGTGACTTTTTATTCAAAGTTTGCAGTGTGTTTCCCATTTACTTGGAATTCCATTATGTGATAGTGATGGTAATCTGTTAGAAAATTATAGTTTTTCCCAGAAGTGATCTATAATAAGCATTTATAGTGCTGCTGTTGCTTTGATAGGTTTTTCTCATCATTTTATTGATACAGTTTCATTTCTTTATTTATTTGATTATTTGAGACAGGGCTCAGTATGTAGCCCAGCCTGACCTCAAACTCACTGCAATTCTTCTACCTCAGAGTACTGAAATTACAGGCATACACTACTATTCCCAGCCAGGATTGGTTATTCTTGCAAGTGTGTTTTCACACTATGAAATAGCCCAATAATTTGACATATTTTAAAAACTTACTTTAGATAAGGTGAATTAAGAAAAAGTTAAAAAATTTATATTTTCTTTTTCATTATTTGTTTGTACAAAGTTTTACACATTTGCCGTCATAGCTTATATGGCATTTTGTCATGTTTTCTACCTCACAGACATATAAACTTACTTGTTTTCTGCTTCCTTTGGCTTTTCTAGTACTTCTATTTATTATATCATTCTGACTTGTCTTTATTATATAAATATTTTTTATGGTATAATAATTATAGTGAAAGCATTTTAACTTTTTCATTGTTCATGCTTCAGTAAAAATTCTCAGCATGGCTAGTGATGACACAATGCATGTAGGAAGAAATAACCTGAGGATTTTTTTTTAAGTCAAAAGTATAAAGTTGTCACCTGGTGGTGGTGCTTGCCTGTAGTTTCAGCTCCTTGGGAGATTGAAGTAGCAGTATCTTGAGGTTCAGGGAATCCTAGTGATAATCTATCTCCTCCACCCAAAAAAGGGTAAGGGATTGGGAATGTAGTTCATTGGTAGAGCCCTTGTATATCATGTATGGGGCCCTGGGTTTCATTCCCATGACTGGAAAAAAAAGTATAAACTCATAAGTAAGGGCAAGGATTGTCCTTTTGCCAGTTTTGTAAATGAAATATACAAAAGTGATAATAACTAAGGATAATGTAAGTATTTATAGAGTGCTTTATAGCTTATTACATACCCTGCAATTTATCTTAACTCATTTGAACCTTATATTAACCATGTTACATTGATGGTCAGTTGTTACTTCTATTTTGTAGATGAAGAAGCCAAATCTTGTGGGCAGGACAACATAGCAAGTGGAAGTGCAATCAGATGAACTAAGATTCTCCTACTTAAAATTTTGTCCAGTAGCAACAACTTTAGTTTCTAAATCTCTAGTTTGTACCCTTCTAGACACTGTACTTGGATTTGTTTATGAATAACTACCAAATGTTTTATTATACAGGCCAGCATTAACTGTAATTATAGCTCAGATGAAAAGATGTACACTTTGCATTCTTCATGATGATATACAGGAATTGAGTCTATCAGGATCTAGAGAGGCACAGAACTAAGTGTGATTGATTGATTGATTGATCTGCCTGCCTGCCTGTGTGTTTATTTATTTATTTAGAGACAGAGTTTCACTATGTAGTCTAGGCTGTCCTTGAACTCAGTATGTAGACCAGGCTGGTTTTGAACTCACTATGATACTCCTGCCTCAGGTTCTGCATGTGGCAACACATCCAGCTCTCCCGCCATCACTCAAAGTGTACTATATTTAGAATGCTGTATACTCATAGTACATGGATATTCTGTTTTTTTTTGTTTTTTTGTTTTTTTTTGGTTTTTCTCTGGTACCGGGAACCGAACTCATGACCTTGCACTTGTCAGGCAGGCGCTTTTGCCACTGAGCTAAATCCCCAGCCCCCAGATATTCTGTTTTTGTAACAGCGACCCATGTATCATGATGAAGTGCCACTTAAATGTGGCAAAATAAATGTTTCAGACATCCATTATATAAGAAGCTCATTGGAGAAGAGAAAGTCTCATTGATAAATCTGTTTTGGAAGGTGTCTTTATCACTTTCCCTTCACTGAGACAAAAAACCTGATACCCACAGGTTTACGTGGACTCATTATTTCAGTCTGTGGTTGATTGGCTCCAAGGCAGAAATGGCATAGCGAGGGAAAGACGTTCAACCTTTCGCAGTCAGGAAACTGACAGAGAAGAAAGGAGCCAGCAACAAGAATGTGCTCTTCCAGGTTATGTGATCAGTGACCCATCTCCAAGCAGGCCCCACTTCCTAACAGCACATTCACCTATTGAACTCATCAATGGATGAATTCATGGAAGAGTGTGGCAACCCCATGATCCACTCATCTTTCAGACACATGAGACTTTAGGGATGCATTTTGATCTAAGCCATTATAGAATCTGTCTCTGTCTCTTTGTCTCTGTCTCTCTTTGTCTCTGTGTCTGTCTCTCTCTTTCTTGTACTTTGAATCTGACATATCTTGATCAAATTCACTTCTTTAGGTTGATTGATACCTTTAAGCAATAGGTGAAAAAGATACTAACATGGCATGTGAAAGAACAGTCTTGAGAAAATCTCCTTAGGTACAAACTATCTGAAAGTCCTTTGGATCAAAAACTGAAAATAATCTATTTGAGATTCCTTTGAATCTATGTCCTTATTTTTTGTCATTTTGTTGAAAAGCAGTTTTCCATTGCCTATGATAGGAATCATTTCTTCCATCATTAATACAGAATGTTCTAAGAGTTATTATAAGAAAAATACATAGGAACTGGAGATCTTTAATTTTTCTAATACTGAACAAAATGACTGATTACAGAATACAAACCATATAATTTTTTCATAAGCACCAAATTGTTCTTTGAAATAGGTAATGGTTGATATGCCCTCTATGCAACTGAAAAGGACAGTCAGAAGCATACCTAGAAGTTCTTTATAGATAGAAGAGGCAAGAGAGATGGGACAGGAAGTGGTTCCTACATCTTTTTTATCCTGTGCTTGTGTCCCTTTTCTGTCATCTTTCTCTTGAGGGTGACTAGTGTAGTGCTTGTTGAAGCAGTTTTGTTTTGAGGCAGTTTTAAGAAAGGATAATTTTTTTTATACAATCTGGTGACTAGTGATATCCTGCCGGGTCTCTAAGTATTAGTTGAGGCAGTGTTAGTTGATGAAGAAGGAAAATGGATTATAGTGAGAGGGGAGAAAGAGGTACATTTGAAAGAATACCATCATTAGCAATTTCAGATAATGTGTTTCAGCTGTCTGACATACTGTACCTAATTTCAATGCGATCCACTTTGAGGCCAGTTTATTAATTTAGCCCTAGGTCTGATTATTTTTTGGAAAATGTATTTCCTTTTCCTCAATGCTGTTGAAATTTCACAGATTCAAGAAGCAAAAAGTATATTCATTATCTTGTTCTCCTAAAAAAAGTCACTGTTAAACTATTGATATTCTTCTAGCTAAGTCTGTTTTTTCCCCTCTGTAATTATTTTTGCATATCTAGGACTAGAATGTGTCTACATTTTTTTCCTGTTTCTGTGAAAGAGCATTGCTACTTATTGCAATTTTCTGAGATAATATAATGCTCTCATAGGTTGTTGTAGATAGCTCAGTGAAATTAAGAGGTTAGTAATTAATACAAGTGAAAATATTCTGAAATTTATTAGGATAATTTAGCAAAGGTATTTGGTTAGTATTTTCTCTAAAGAGAAGTATTTGTTAAAATTGAATGTATAAAAGAACATTAAAGCTGCACAAGGAGAAGCATCCTAAGTTATGTTTCTTTTTATTTCAGGCCTGAATACAAAGTGAAGTTACTTTCAGATTTAAAAGACTATTAGGAACACAAGATGGGGACTCCTGGTTCTGGAAGGAAAAGAACACCTGTAAAAGATCGATTTTCTGCAGAAGACGAAGCTTTGAGTAACATTGCCAGAGAGGTATGTGTGGTAAACTCTCTTTCAAAACTGAATTGTTCAGATGAGAATATTAGGCAAATGCTGGGGTGACAGATACAAATATTCATTGAGCCAATTTCATCATGTTTACTGTGAACAAGATATTAGTCTAGCATCTAAAATACTGTATTAGAATAAAAAAATACTTGGATATCTGTTCAGTTCATCTAAAATTAATTTTTCATTATATTTTTATGGGTTACTTGAGTTCCATTATTATTTCTGGTATATTGAAATTTATAATTAATTCTCAATTTAAATTTAGGGTAGAATGTTGGAGTAATAGTAACTACATTATAAAAATGCTCAGTGGGTTATGCAGTTGTTTTTTAAAATATTGCAGTGGATTTTTTTGTTGTTTTTTGTTTAACTTTTTTGGTTAGTAGCAGAGCTTTTGGGACTTTTTTGCCAGTTTGTTGGCATTTCAGAAAAAATTTTTTCTAACAAGGGAAGGGGTGTCATTTATTGAATCAGTAGCAACATTTCCCATTATATATTGGATATTTAGTATAACAGCTGGAATTTCTTAGTGAAGTGCCAACTGTATTTCACATTCTATCTGGATCTGCAGATGGACCATAAACCAATGCGGTAGAATTGCTTAGACCATCATTAAATTATGTTATTTGAGTGAGAATTATTTCCTTATTACTTCCTCTTTGTATTCTTAATAAATAGCTCACTTAGGACTAGTGTCCTCTTGTTTTGACATATTTCACAATCTTTTGATTCAGTTTGTTGTTACATTTTTCCTCATCAAAGCTAGTTTTTGAATTAGACACCAAATATTATGTAGAAGGGTATTTGAAGGAAAATCATCTAAAAACTAATAATAAAAGTATAATATTGCTTTAACAAAGTTGCCTTAAAAGCAATGAGGTATTTTTAGAGAAAAAGGTATAAAAGAACTTTGAAAATGCACAAATGAAGCATTTTGGAAGCTACATAGTTTAGATTGAAAATTGAAACTATCCAAATTGTTTACTTTCAGAATTGGTGGAATTTATCTGGATTTTTGTAAGGAAAGAAAGGGCCAGCATCTTCTGTGCTTCTTTTGTACTATCATTAAATATTTGAACTTTTTAAAAAGCAGTCTGGTGTATTGGGCTGGGAATATAGCTCCGTGGTGCAGCATCTGCCTGGAAAGTGCAAGGTCCTGAGTTTGATTCCCGGCACCCCCCAAAAAGTGATGCATCTTTTAAAAAATTGGGTGGGATTCTAACACTGACATTGTTAAGTGTTTACTAGGTGGCAAAAATTATTCTAAGCATTTTACATGCATTCACTTAACCCTTGGAAATTCTGAGATTGGTTTTATTTTAGCTGTACTTTACAGATGAAGAAACCATTGCACAGAAGTGAACTAATAACTTCTCCAAGTTCCATAATTTGGAAATAGTAGGGTTTGGGTTCAGACCCAAAGTCTGGCTCCAAAATCTGTGCATTTAACTGATTATTGTGCTATTTAATCAGTGTTTTCTAACTCCCCACTAGTAGCTTTTTTTTTTTAATAATTTTTCATGATTTTGAAAGGATTTTCACATCTTAAATCTCAGGAAAATCTTGAGTAAGGCAGGATAGGTATTATTAGCCTTACTTACAGGTGAGGAAACAAGTGAATTAGAGAGATAACTGTTGTAAAGGTATCAGAACCTGGGCTCAAATTCAGTCGTTTGAAGCCATTTTTCATTCTGCTCTACTGTACTACTTTGAGGAGAGATGGGCTTTGGAGGCTATAAGTATAGCTTTAAATTCTGAGTCTGTTGGTTGCTGGTTGAGTAATTTTGTTAATCTCTCTAAACTTCAGTCCCTCATCTGTTAAATGGGTATAATATTGTCTTTCTGTCTCATAAGCCTGTTATGACAATAAAAGAAATAATGCTTGTGAACCTTACTCTTAGGCTTGCAAATAGGATATTTTATTGATTAAAAAGTGGAAATGGCTAGGCATGTCTATAATTCCAGATACACAGGAGACTGAGGCAAGAGGATCACAAATTTGAAGTCAGCCTGGGAACCTTACTAAGATCATGTATGTCTCGAAAGGAAAAAAAAGGGCCGGGGAGGTAGTTCAATGATAGAGTTTGTCAGGCAGGTGCTATATCCCGGCCAGTGATAGAGGTTGTATGTTAGCTCGTGGATTCAGTTCTCAGATCTAGGTGGCAGGGGAGAGACAGAAAGTTAGAAGACTGATAGAAAGGGAAAATAGACTCTTCATAAAAGAAAAATTTAAAAATGAGTGTTCTAAAACATGGTTGGTCATCAGAATCCTCTAGGGTAGTGTTGGAGTGAACCTTTTAGAGCTTTCAGTGGTAACAGCCAGCTGTGGCACATGTGCCATAGATTTGCCATCATTGTTCTACACAGCTTTATCATTGTAGATTCCTAGATCTGAGCTCAGAAAAGTATTTAAATATTCTTGTTCTGCCTGTCTTTTCTTCCTCCCCCTCTTCCTCCCTCCTTTTTAGGGGATTCTGGTGGCCAGTCAGGTTTGAGAATTATAAATGAAAATGTACAGATGATCCTAGCCTGAGTTGTCATTTTTTTTATATACTTCCATGTTATTTTCTTCCCTGTATGTCATTATTTTGCTATGAAATAACTAAGTTTAATTCCATTATATTAAAAGTTATACTGTAATAATAAACAATATTATCATAAAAGAATATCAAAAGGCAGTATTTCTAGTTTTTATTTCTATCTTCAGAGTCTGAATATGCATATGACAATTCTTTTGGTTTCATTTTGATAGTACTGGCAATTGAACCAGAGGGCTCTGCCACTGAACTTCATCCCTGCCTTGAATATGTTGGTTTGTTTTTTTGTTTGTTTTTTTTTTTTTTTTCTCCGGTACCGGGAACCGAACTCATGACCTTGCGCTTGCCAGGCAGGCGCTTTTGCCGCTGAGCTAAATCCCCAGCCCCCCTGCCTTGAATATGTTAACTTTAGTAACAAAGTGCAGAAGGCTCTGCTTTTATTTAAAACATGAAAGGGCTAATTTTTGTTAAAATCTAAGACTTTGATGACTGCCTGATATGTGACACAGTAGTTTTAAGAACTAGAGGAAATATCTTTAGCGGTTTTATTATCTTATATGTTCTTTTTGATTTTTTTTCTTTCCTTTAATTGTCTTCATAACTATTTGCATATTGTCTACTCCTATACTGGATGATTGGCATTGGTAGTCCCTAATCTTATTTTCTGCAGTGTGATAAAAAAGTACTGTTTTACATTAGAAACAAAAACTCCCTTTAACAACATAAATAACAGTTTAATCTTTTTTTTCTCTTCTTCACTTATATCTGAAGAGTTTAATTCATCTTTCTTCACTTGTGTTTTGAAATGGATAGGGAGGAAATGCCATAAATAAAAAGAGCATCTTTTGATTCTTGGTTACATATGAGGTTTGTGTGCACCTTACTTGGTGAAAAAGCCAACAGCCAGGAAGAATGAGAATGTAAAGAAACAAAGGACTTAAATTCCATAAGTTGAATAATTTGCATGCTAAAATATAGAACTGAGTGCATTTAAAAAATATACTCAAATACATATAAAATTTGCAGTTTAACAATTAAGTATACATATAGTTCTGTGGCATTACATGCATTTACATTGTTGTGTAACCATCACCATCATCCATTTTTAGAACTCTTTTCATCTTGCAAAACCCAAGTGCATTTTAAAAAGACATTGAAATGATTGAAGACTGCTCTTTAAAGGCAAGGAATGTGAATGGATTTAGAAACCTTGTGTGTTTGTAACAAACATGTTGCTGTTTTGTTAGGAGAGCTCATGCATTTACAACTTTCGGAAGAGCTCAAGAGTAGCAGGTGTCAGGAGTCATCAGCAAGTCTATTAGGGTGCTAGAAGTCCAGTTTGAAGGCTTATTGACTTTCAGTGAATGTTACCTGAAAGCACATACCTAGTATATCAAATTGAGGACCTTTAGGTATCTAGCTTCCCTCTCAAAATGAGAAAGATGAATGTGGAATGAAAAGTAGTTATGTTGCCTTAGCATAGTTAGTTTGGTGAATATTATTTGTAGCAGCTATTCCTCTGAGAAGAAATTAAAACCTCTTGAATATTGTACAGTCTTTAAAACATCACTGAAACCTGGAATGTTACTGCCTTCCTTGTTTAGAGCTATAATTTTTTTTCCTGGTTTTTCTTTTTTTAAATTTTTTTTTTTATTTTAAAAATAAAAGGAGGAAAATATAAACAGACAGACAACATTTTACAAAATACCAAAAGAACAGTACAGACAATATGGAGTTACAAACAAAGTGGTAGGAAATTAACAATGCTTGTTGTATTACATATTGATATCTTCAAAGTGGTTTCTTATTAGAGCTATAATTTTGAAGAAAAGGTGATTTATGCACATTTCTTCAAAAATACATTATGATTGTAATACATCAAAAATACACCTGATTATATGCGATTCCTTCTAGCTTTAAAATTCTGCAATTTCTTTCAAGATAATAACCCCTCCAAAAAATTGATGTTTGTATACACAGATCTCTTAAATCTAAAAAGTGATTATCAGACATAGAAACTGATCTTTTATAGGAATTGGAGTCTAGTAGATAAAGTGTCCAGAGATTTTATGTTAAGCAGAATCTACATGTAAACATATTTGGTATGTAAACCTACTTGTAACTTTGTAATTGTAAGGAGGCTCCATGACTATTTAACCTTTGTAGCTTTGGAATGTTTGGATTTTCTTTTTTTTAACTTGTAGAATTCAGTGACATTAATTGCATTCACAATGTGTGCAACTTTTATCACTGTTGATTTCTAAGACCTTTTCATTATTCCAGACAGAAACTCTATACTATTTTTTTTTTTTTTTTTTTTTGGCTTTTAGAGACAGGGTTTCACTGTGTAGTCCAGGCTGAACTTGAGTTCACTTTGTAGCCCAGACTGGTCTCGAACTTGGAATAATCTTCCTGCCTCAGCCTCCCAAGTGCTGGGATTACGTG